GAAGAGACAGAGATACTGGGGTGAGGGAGAGGAATGGAGAGAAAGAGAAAGTCAGAGTCAGAGAGACCAAGGAGAGACAGAGAGATAAAGACGTAGGAGACAGATCAAGAGACAGAGAGGAAGAGCAGCAGCAAGAGGAAAGAGAGACAAAGGGGGGAGAAGACAGAGGGGAGAAGACAGAGAGAGGAGAGACTTAGCTAGAGAGACAGAGACAGAGAAGGAAAGAGACTGGTAGAACTAGTGGGACAGTTAGAGGGGGGAGAATCAGGGACAAAGACAGGGGAGAGAGACCAGAGAGAGGAGAGAAGTATGGCCAGACCGAGGGAAGAGATGGAGGTCTATGGAGCCAGACCGCAAGAGGTCAGGGATACAGAGAGATGGGAACCGGGGCAGAGGAACTGATGGGACAGAGACCAGAGCCCCGGGAAAGAACGAGAGGGAGAGAAATCTAGAAAGGGAGGCTTGGGAGATGCCAAGGGAGCCCCTGAGGAGGCAGGCACAGAAGATCAGAGGAAGGCAGAGATGAGAAGACAGAGACTCGGCAAGGGAAGGAGAGACAGCACAGTGACAGGGTCAGCCTTGGTGGGAGTATGGAGAGCCCAAGGGAGAGGAGGTAGAGAATTTGAACCCAGAGGAACCCCAGCTACCAGAGGTAGCCCAAATAAAATGTTTCCAGAAGCCATGGAGGGAAGCATCAGGCTAGGCTCCCTAGGGACTCAGGAACAGTGAAATGGAGGGAAGGGACATGGGGGTAGCAAGAGAGACTAGGAGAGAAAGAGAACAGGGACAATCTGAGCAGTTGGGGAGGTGGTGGGAAGCCCTGATACAAGAGGGAGTCTTAGAGCTGGGAAGAGTGTGAGCCTGAAATTGAGGCCTGAAAGGGATAAAGGAGTCAGCAGGCTGGAAAAAGGCAGGAACTATGGCCACTGGGGACCACTGGGACTGGGGGAGGAGTAGAGGAAGCATGCGGGAGACCACTTGCTTGCAGAGGAATCTGGGACTCTGAATTCCTAGCTACACTGTTGCATCTGCAGGGTCTTAGAAGTCTGAGAAGGCTCTTGTGATTGCAGAGAATGAGAGAGAAGTCTGCCCTCAGCCGCCTTGAGTTGGAGACAGCAAGTTGCAAAGGGAGAAACCCAGATGTGGGACCAGCCCTAGCTTGCAGGTGTGACTCTGAGTGCAGCTAGAGGGCAGAGTGAAAGAGAGCTAAAATGCTCCTGAGGTGCTTGACTTCGGGTTCTGGATTCTTTTTCCCAGTCCTCAGTTTGCCCATGCTTATTTCTTGAGTCCAGAGCCCTGGAGATCAATAGACAACCAGTAGATTGAAAATGTTTGAAGGGATTGGGTCTTGCTCACTTCCTGGTACACACAGTGTTTTATTGAGTAACGAGATGATCGTTATTGGGCTTCTCAGGCAGAAAAAAGAGACACTGCTTTCCTCTGTGGATTAGAGCCCAAGAGAATGTCTTGAAATGGAACACTAGGCATAAGGACAAAGTTGGGTTGGGAGCTGGAGTGAAATGAGGGAAGAAACTGGAGGTCCAGGTGTGAGGCAGGAAGGTTGGGTAGGGATCCGGAAAACCAAGCTGGGGAGCTGTGAAGAGATGAACCATTTCCGTGGAGAACAGGAACTAAGACTGCAACAGAATGGAGTAAATTAGACAGTTTGTTCTCTCTCTTGCTTTGGACCAAGACATGGGCATCTCAACATTTCATCAAGTTTCTTCATCTATAAAATGTGGATCACACCATCTCTCCGCAACAAGCTGCGAGGATTACATAGTAATCAATCAATCAATA